TCTTAATACAATGCATTAAGAAGTGTTCTTTCCTCTTCTATTTTTGGAAGAACTTAAGAAAGACTGTTATTAATTTCCCCTAAAATGTGTGGCAGGATTACCTCACATCTGTTCTTCGGCTTTTCTTTTAGGAAAGTTTTTGATTTTTGTCAGTTGCTTCATATATTTTGAAAACTGTTTTAGATCAAGATGTGTTGTGTACATCTACCAACTCCCATGATAAATGTAATCAATATGCAAACATGTAACGGTACAAAATTTTAAAAATTATATAATTACCATACCTTCTTGATGGACTAACACTTTTATTATTATATACATTAGTTCCCCCTTATCCTTGGGGGGATACACTCCAAGATCCCTGGTGGATGCCTGAAGTTGCAGAGAATATCAAACTTGATATACACTATGTTTTCTTCCTATATATACATGCAAAAATTTAATGCCTTTTCCATCCTCACTGAACACTTCTCACACACCGTGGCTACAATTTTTGCAGACTGAGGCACAACAGAACCAACACTAATTTCCTTCTCTACAATTTGCCAGAAAGAAGATTCATTCTTACCACAGATCCTAGGAACCTGAGAGTAGAATTTTTTTCTTTCTCTATTTTCATTTTTTTTTTTTTTTTTGGTTTTTCTCTGGTACCGGGAACCGAACTCACGACCTTGCACTTGCCAGGCAGGCGCTTTTTGCCGCTGAGCTAAATCCCCAGCCCCTCTTTCTCTATTTTCATTAGTAGATGTTCCTTACATGCACGCCACCTAGTGGTGTCAGTAATGAGCCTATGTGGTAATCTATTGGTTAATTCTGTTCTCGATTATGCTAATTAGAATCATACCCATGCACACATCATTCAAGGTTGAATCCAGAAACTTATAAACAACTTTATGAAGTTGCTTTAACAACATCATCATTAGCAACAATAGCAGCAGCACAGAGTTCTTCTAATAGTGAACAGTAACAATGGACTGCCTGAAAAGAAGTATGATGTGACTGTTAAGATTGGTATCCCAGAGCAAGCTATCCCAATCAAGCATTTAGCGACACCTGAATAAAACAGCTGGCTCCTAACCCACTCACCCTAAAGGGAAGCCTCCTGAGCTACCACTTAGCTTGTGTTGCCTTGTTCTTGAAAAATGACTACACAACAAAGATTTAAAAAGCCCAATAGAAACAAGAAGGGCCTTAGAGGAAATAGATAACCAAAAAAAAAGAAGAAAATTTAACATTTCACTAGTCTATCAAAATGTAAGAACAGGATGCAGGAAAAGAAGGAAGGGAAAAGCAAAAAAATTTATATGCATATATATATATATATATATATATATATAAAAGTTAAGATAGTTATACTACTAATTTCCCTTAGTTCATTGAAAAGAAATGTTTGTGCTAATATTGTCTGGACAATTAAATGTCCATACTCTTGTACTCTGAGTAACTAACTTAAAGATAACAATACACAATGTATTAAACATTGTTACTCCCTATTATCTTGTTTTGAAATTTTCTTTTTTTCTCCTTAAAATAAAAATAAATAAATAAATAAATTAGGAGCACATGGGGAAAAAAAGAACAGGATGCTGGGAAATTGGAATAACCACGATATAAGGGGAAAACTCTTGGAGGTTAAAAATATAAAACAGCCAAAATAAAAATTCAGTGAACATCAGGTATGGCGGAGTGTGCCTGTACTCCCAGGACTTAGGAGACGATCCCTTGAGTCCAGGAGTTCCAAATCAGCTTGACATCTGTCTCAAAAAGTAAATGAAGCTAGGTGCCAGGCACATGCCTGGCACAACTATAATTCCAGCACCTTGAAAGGCTGAGGCAGAAGGATAGCAAACTCAAACCCAGCCCAGGCAATTTGGTGACTTGGCAAGATGCTGTCTCAAAATGAAGAGCTGAAGGTATAGCCCAGGGTAAATGTCCCGGGTTCAATCTCCAGTATTACCAAAAAAAAAAGAAAGGAAGGAAGGTAGGTTGGGCAGATAAAAATCCAGAAAAATAACCAAGAAAATTAGAAAAAAAAAAAAAGAGACAGAAAATTAGTCAAGAAAGGTCAATCTAGGACCTTTAATATGTGACTGATAGGTGTGTTAGGGAAAAAAAGGGGGAAACAAAGATGGATTATTGAAGGACAAAGAAAAGGATGTGACACATTTGCCCTACTAATTTTGGGGGAAGAGAGAAAGAACTGTAAGAGGAAGCTAGGGGTGCAGTTCCTTCTGCTGAGACTTTGAGTCCAGGAGAGAGGAGTGCATTAGATAAGGAGACCACTGGCCATGAGCGCAAGGACTTCTGCTCTGATTCCCACGACGAGGGCAAGGCCAGGAGGCCTCCTTTCTATAGCACAGGTTTCCTTAAGTCATCTGCCTGATATTTTAGATGCCATCTGAGAGTTCAACATTTGAGTAAGGAAGTTAATGGAAGGAATGAGAAATTATTTCTTGAAGACTGATTTAAACATGAAGAAATTGTTTAAATTATAGAACAGGAGTGAGTGAATTACATGTAAGATGTTTTTATATCCCCATGAGCTAGATAGCTTGTGGATTGTTTTATCTAGAGATACAAAAGAAAATTAGAACAGAACTTCACAGCACTGGATGCATCCCGCAGTTTGAATGAGAGAGCCATATTCTAAATATATCACAGAAAATTTCACAATTATCAAAAGAAAGAGAAATTTCTAAAAGCTGCCAGAGAGAGGGAAATAGTACCCTACAAAAGAAGAATTGACCTGGCAAAAGACTTATCATCAATAACACTGGATGTTTAAAAACAACAAAACAATGCCTTCAAAGTTCTGAGGGGAACCAGGCATGGTGGTGCACGGTTGTAATCTCAGCACTCAGGAGGCTGAGGCAGGAGGATCATCGCAAGTTGAAGGCCAGTTTGGGCTACATAGTGAGTTCAAGGTGAACCTGAAGTACACAGCAAGAACCTTCCCCTCCCCCCCAAATTTCTGGGGGGTGGGTAAAATGCTATTTAGAATTCTTTACCTAATGAGGTTATTATTAAGAATAAAAACATTTCAGACAAATAGGACTGAGAAATTAGCCCAAATGGACACCATTCTTAGGAAGTTACCAGAGGGTCTCTTCCAGCAAAATGAGAGTGAACCAAGAATCTAGACCACAATGGACCCAATTTAGGAGCACAATGAAATTTCCAGGATGTCAGTACCCAAACAAGAAAGTGAAATCATAGTATAGTAATATGCACTGCTTTGTTGCACAAGGAGCAATATTTACATAATCATAATGATAGAGATGCTTTATTTTCTACTCTTAGAATTAAAAATTTAGAAAATATAATCGGGTTATAACCAGATAAGCACAAAGCTGTTTGCAACTTTGAAAATATAAAGACTTATAGTAAAACTACAAGGAATACTAGTGACCCAGAAAGTACTATTTATTGTCAATTGTTGATAGAATGAATAAAGAGGTTAGAAAGTAAGCAACAGAATGATGATAAAACATAATGTAACTAATTTTGGAGAAAATGGAGATGGGGAAGTGTAAGTGAGCTAAATCTTCATTTTTGAGGACAAGATAACATAATAAGAACAGATATTATCTAAATTTGGTAGATCAA